AGCCTTGCTTTTTGGCTTTTAAACAAGCTATCTCATTTTAAAATTAAAACATTCTATATAAAACTACAATAAAAAAAACGGAGGCCAATTTTTTTCTTAACACACTGTATTTGTACATAAATTTAAATAAAATTAATCAATCCTTTATCTTTAATAAATACAAAGAATTAACATTATTACTAAATAAAGGTGAGATTAATGCTTCAAATTATTATAATAAAAGAAAAGGAAACCAAAGATTTTGATGCAAAATCATACCCTTAACAATCTATTATTAATAAAACTGAGATTCTCTATTATTATCAAACATTGATATCAATTAATCCATAAACTGATTTTAGTAATAAATTATCATTATCTTTATTCATTACTATTTATTTATTATCATTACTTGTTTCAAAATAAAATGTCTTCAAAAAGCAAATTAACTTTAAACAATTCCCAAAAATATGAATTCTGCTTATATGCTTGTGATAATAATAAATTAGCAAGAAAAGAATATGTTAATTGGATTGAGCAAAAGTGGAGGCTTAAAGTGAATGAATCAACAATTACTAGAATTTTACAAAAAAGTGATGAAATACTTAATATGGAAATTTCTAATCCAGAAGCAAAAAGACATAAGTCAGTAACTTTTCCTGAACTTGAACTTGCACTTAAAGAATTTATTCTAGTTTATCAAAGTAAAACGATTTTGAGTGATGCACTTATAATTGAAAAAGCTAAACAGCTAGCAGACAGACTGGAAATTCCAAGTGGAGCATTATCATTTTCTCCTGGATGGCTCCAAAAATTTAAAGATCGTAATGGAATTTGTCAGCAAAAACTTCATGGAGAAGCATCATCAGTTGATCTAAGTATTGTTATTGATGCTTTACCATTATTGAAAAATAAGTGTGAACATTATCCACCCAAAAGAATTTATAATATGGATGAAACTGGTCTTTTCTACAGGTTATTATTTTTTTCCTAATAAAATCTAAGTTTAATTCTAATAATCCATGATATAACTGCCCATTATGTTTAGATTTTCCCTTTTCTAATACTACATCCTAAAAAATTTCTATTGAAAGTAAAATTTGTTAATATTAATAACATAATTTTTTACAGGTTAGAACCAGACAAAACATTGGCTACAATACGTCTTTCTGGACGTAAAAAAATAAAGAAAGGCTTACCATTGCTTTGTGTACTAATGCAGATGGATCTCATAAAACAGAGCCTTTAATAATTGGAAAATCCTCAAAACCATGATGCTTTAAAAATGTTAACATCAAGAACTTACCTATTAAGTATTGTAGCAATCCTAAGGCCTGGATGTTAACAACTGTCTTTCAAGATTGGATTCAAGAATTTAATAATGTATTATTCAAAAATACAATGGTCAGCATGTTTTGTTGCTACTTGATAATTGTCCAAGCCATAAAATAGGTGGTTTGGCACTT